TTGAAAGGGAGGTGGCACATTCTTCATGAAGGGGCGATTTGCTTCTTCTATGTCGAATCTTGACTGCCATAGTACTCATCTCAGGTAAGCTGTCACTGGAAGAATAGGAGCTTGAGAGTGAAGGTAATTGACTGGCTCGTGGTGGTGGTGAATTGTCGATAGGTGTCACGCAGAGAGACTCTCTTGACCACACTCGCCAACTGATATTCTCTAGCCGCCGGCCCTCTTCCAGCGTTTCTGAGCATTTGGAAAAGGTCGACCACATTGCCATCAAGCTGCAGGCATTGGAAGGATCGATGTCGTGCATTTTGCCCGGGTCGAGCGATAGAAGTGCACGCATATTGAAGGAGCTGTTACTCTGCGCAAGCAAGTGCGATTGGGAGAGGTAATAAGTGAGTCGGCGCCGAAATGTGTCTTGGGGAAGGGACGATCGAAGTAGATTTGCAGTTGCTGGCGTTGGATTCTGCTGTCTGCAAACGGTTGGATATTTGGCGGGTTCGGTGTGACGTACGTGACCTTCGGGCCGATTGACGAAGACGTGTTCAGAGGAGAAGTCGACCTGACAGAGGCTTCGATCGGGGTGAGGACAACTTCAACGTCGTCAGTGCAGATGCAACGGGAGTTGGGTAAGGCAAGGGTGCGCTTCGATGAGGAAGAGTATGTCTGTGAGCGCGGTTAGGACAGGCGTGTGGAAGAAATGGCGAGGACCTTGACCGGTACGGAGTATAAGGACGGCAAGCCGAAGACCAGGTGCGACTTCAGGGTTGCAAGGTTTAAGTTGCAGAACAGGGGTCGCCGGTAAGTTACCCCCAACTCGTCAACTGGGAGGAAAGCCACTCAAGGGACCACTTTTTGGAGGCGAGGAGTTACCAGCGGAGGATTGGCGGATGTGCATGGTTCGAGACACGAGCGAGCAAGTGGGTGAAGACCTGGTCCGGGTGGGGAGGCGCTCCGGTTGCAGAAGTGCAAAACCCACGGTCCATGTCAAATGTATTGTAATGACATTCAAGTCCGAGATGTCGGCCAGGCTATGAGGAGTGGGGATGGTCCTCCCTTGGAAGCCCAGTCACAGCCACAACCAGTCGCTCCGTACCCCGAGATCACACAGCCCAGGCACCAAAGTACCCAGGCATCTGTTCAGCTGAATATGCGCTCCTGCCTACGTGGTGCTGCTCCGAGTACTACCAAGGACGTACCTGCTCTGGGCGAGTTGATCAGAAACCCAACTGCCACTGGCCATGATAGGTAAGACAAGGCCAGCAATGTTGCAGTGCCACAGATCACATGCCACTCAGCTTCTCTGTCTCTCCAGCCTGAGCCACAACTCACCGAGTCCCATAGAACCTGAATCCTACCTTGTACCAGACCTCGATTTTGAGCGACTGGTTGAGTCGTAACAATAATCATCTGGCGACTCAGGTCTCTCTCGTCATGCCTACTTCCGCTAACCCGTGAACAAGGCTGATCGAGAAGGAAAGTGAATTGTTTCGGTGGTATCGAGGCCAGACCAGCTGACTCGAATACTGCGAAGAGCGGCTTGGAGTGTGAAGAAAAAAAAGACAAATACCATCGTTATTGGACGAGCAGTAGGTAAATTTGGCCGAAAGAGGTACTCGCCAGGAATCGAGTAAGCAAACCACCCCTACAAAGCCAGCGGCTCCGGCTTCATGTTCCCCGTTGCCGCGCTAAAGCGCGTCAGGGCTGCTGGTTGCAAAACAACAACGCTGAATGGCTCGATCAAGTCAGCTGGACAGAGAATAAAATTCCCAGCACGTGGAACTTCCTTTCCCCCAAAATCTTGCTTTCGAGCATGTGCGCATCTTGACGCTAACAACTTACATCACCACTTTCGGCTTACAGACATGTCACCGTTATTGCACATGGAGTGCCAACCAGCGTTCAAAAGGGTACTGCAAACACATACATTTCACAGCTTGTGCTCTGTGCCGAGTAGTACAAGGCCCCTTCAGTCTGGTTATCACAATACTATTCGTGCAAGGGATCAGATTGAGCTTGTCACCAAAGGTCAGCAGAAGACGAAGAGCCTCGCTCCCCCTTCTTGATCAAGGATTGCTGTCCCCGGGCTTCATGAGTACTTGTACGCTCCTGTCTACGAACCAAGCAGAATCCGTCATTCAATAAGAATGATTAAGACAGTGATTGCGTATGGAGCTCCCACTCACTCGCATCTGTACCCATGTCTCCAGCTTTCGCACACCGGAATTTAGACGCGGCCATTCCAAGCCACACTGTCATGGTCTCTTCGTGCCCTGTAACCACCTGCACCAGGGGTGAACAAGCACAAGCACGTACGAACTTCATACAATCGCTACGACGAGGCGTCCATTCAAAAGCACCTGCAACCCTCTTCAATCCTCGGGGCTTCTGCTCAGTTGTGGTTAGACGGCTACCCCCCAGTCACCACTGGTCGGTTACTGTTCCCTCAAATATTGCCATTTTGCGCGAGACTCGCCACAATCGTGCGTAATTATCGCATCAGAGTAGTTACCCCGGATGCTTTACCCCAGAGAAAAGGGTCACGGTACCAGCCGCCAAGATAAAGGCAGTAAGCAATCGAGTCGTGGCCCTGAGGCTCGAACCTCGAAAAGGAAGAAACTTTGTCGATTATATCAATATCAGCAAAGGTTTCGGAGACACACCGCGAGTTTACTCGCAAGCTGTTGTTGGGACCCAGAACCGTTTGCTACTAACCCCCTCTGGTCTCTGCCCCCATCCCTATGTGTGGGACATCCGGGAACCCGGTTCCGCAGACCGGGTGGGATGCCGAGTGTGCTTTCCAGGTCCTTCGCTTCCGACAGTCCAAACCACTATCTGCAACACTACTGCCAAGTAGTCTATCTTACCACCACCATCTGCAGATGCTAACGTTGAGTGGCTTGGTCGCCATAGCTCCCTTGACAGCGGAAGACTTTTGACAGATTCCGGCATCTCGTAAACAAGGATCCGCCCATGTCCAGCAGCCTGTTCCAGGAGTAAAGGGAGGGGAAACTACCCCGGGGCTTGCCACATGACACATCCCAATAAATGTGCCCCATATCCCGCCAAAACGGTGGTTTGATCGTCGGGTGCGTCTCGAAAATGCAAGCCTCGAACTGGGAAAATCTCTCGCAGCCTTATCATTCGTGCATAAGGACCGTACACGAGAATGCAAAAGCTTGTGGCTGGCAATGACCGCACCTTCTGCTTTTGGTTCTGACCCTCGTGGCAGCTCTCCCAACATACTCTGAGAAACTCGTGCAATGAGCATTGTGTTAGGTTACCTAGGCAAGCCCCTCGCACTACCCTCTGTCATTCCCACATCTTGATTTAAGCGAGACAAGCTCCTGCTACGAAGCCATATCCGAAGATTCTGAACGTGGAGCACGACCCCAAGGTCATGCGGAACTCCGAAATCAGCTATTGTACGACCTGATATATCAAATCCATATCTGCTATGTAAGGACCGGCGACCGGGCTCCCCCAGTGGCCAAGATTACTTCATCCCACATCCCACGTTATGTCCTCCCTTCAATCTATTATCAACAGCATGCTCAAAATATATGCCCGCTAATTGCAGGACTGTGCTTTAATGCACAACGTAGGGCGATAGGAGTGGAGACGAGATCTCACTCACAGCTGACACACAAAGAGCGTGTGACTAACTGAGAGCATCCGAAGATTTTACTCCTCCCCGGATCTGACAATCTGATCTCAGATGCGACGATGACAACGCAATAGAGCAAGCCAGCCTGGATTGCTGATCCCTTCATGTGGGCAAGGCTCTTGCATATCAGCACTTACTGCTCGCTTGGGTATTCTTTTCCGAACCCTTTCTCAACATTTGCGAGAGTCATCGAAGGTGGCTCTCCTGGCTACGCTGTAACAGAGGGAGAAGGTACTGCTCGTCTTCTCTGTCCTCGCCGATACTGGGATCCAATAGCGGAACTTGGCAATCTGTCACAAATGCATGCTGAGTGGAGTTTCGGCTTTGACATATATTGGAGGGCCATGCCAGATCAGACAGGCCAAGGGCGAGGCTGCAGAGACGGACGTTCAACGCCCTTGAGTTCTTTATATGATGGAAGTGCTTCTATCCTGGAGGCGTAGCTAATGGTAAGCGTATCGAGGCTACGATCTTGCGACAGAGTCACGTCTCCGTGTCTGTATCTCATTTCGCACAGCTTGAAAGCTCATCTTCGCAAGTTGAATCGTAGCAAGGGGACTTGCGAACATGGCATGAAGCGTTCCTAATATCACATCGCTGATCCATGCCCTTAAGCTCTGTCATGATGGCATTCTTGAATTGCATACAACATGGGTCATCCCCGGATCAAAAAGCCGGACTTCGGATCAAACGTATGTCGATCTCGCCGGATCTATCATTCGTGCAGCGTGCGTCAAGCAAGCAATTTCTCCGTACCCCCTTTATCATCTCAACCAATGTCCGTACGAAGGAATATGGACATTTGTGCGAGCTTGACGAACCTGCTGAAGAGCTCCAATATGCACGCCGAAATCCCTTGCGCTTTATCCATAATCCTTCCCTACGCCTTCCATCATACTGATCTGGAGCACCCTCATTCCTGGTCTGCGGATCCCATTCTGCATGCATGAGCATCACGTTGCATAGTCATGATCTCAATCCTACCTATGCTTCTGCGGTCCTCGGCATATATGCAGCCTGCCGCCTTCCCGGTTTGCCACTTTCCCAGGGACTAGAGATATCTTTCGCAGGGGATGCCGTTGAGAGGGGTGGACACGCCCTGCGCATTGTGCACTTCCGCAGCGGGAGAATTCTCCAGTAGGTTTCCAAATCAAGGGCAAGTCGGGGGCACAAAGCCGGATCGGAGCGAGGGTTAAAGGCAAATTGAACTTGACCCCGACGAGGCTGCAGCCTTGCCCTTCACTGACTCACCGGAACCTCGCCACGTCACAAAAGTGATTGATATATTCGAATCTGCGAAAATGACACAACAATCAGCTTGAATAACTCACATTCGGCGGGGTTAGTGCAGTGGTTAGCACGTTTCGTTGTGGTGTTAGGCACTTGTTGAGCTCAAGTACTTCCCGAAGAGACCCTGGTTCGAATCCAGGACCTCGCAATTTTTGCCCTAATAAACCCGTACCGGGATGAACAGGAGGAAGTGAAGTGTGCGGATGTGTTTAAAGATTATATGGTATTGTAGGTTGAGTGAATTCTTTTTTGTCTCTTATCTTTTTTATTGACTGTGTGCTTGATTTGATACATATTCTGCCTGTTGGGCTGATGTCCTTGCTATTCTTCACAGGCGCGTGGAAAACGACCGAAAGGAGAGATGAGTCATGCTAAGGTTTGGATGGTATTTGGACTACTGGACAACCGAAGTTGAGAAGCTCCTCGTCGTGAGGTGCATTAATGGTACACGGAACAAATCATGTCAGGCCAAACTTGCTTGGAAAGAGAGGAAGGCACTATGAAGGAGCTGCGGCAAGCGCCAGACGCCGCGATCAGCCCTCACAGACGTTCAGACATCCTGCGTCCCAGTCGACGTTGCGACAGATTTGCAGCTGCGAAAGCATAGCAGCCGAATACTCCTCGATACCAGTCGTCTGGAGAAGTGCATTGAACGATTTCGAGACATTGGCGACATGGCTTTGATAGTCGGAAGTCGTGATCTCATAGTAAATGCTGTCATGGACATCTTCTGGCCGAAGCCAAGCATACTCAGCCGCGTGGAAGCCGCTGAAGTCGAGCGTGGGAATGATATCAGGTGGCCGACCATGGATGATCTTCTTCAAACGCTCCATATCTTCCGACGTGCGTTGCTCCCCCCTAAAACGCAGCTGTGTCGAGACATCGATCGTCGTCTGCCTGGCTTGGACACCAGGAAACCTTTTCTGATTGTAGATGAATCTGCTCTCAAGCAGCTCGATGCCGAGTCTTTGAGCATGCTTATAATTGACAACTCTGACTGCCGGAAAATTTGTGTGGGCAACATATTTCGTGGTATCACCTGCAGCTCTCTGCTGGATCATGAAGACACTATGAGGCCATATGAGTGCACGGCTGGTGTCTTCTGCGATCTGCATGGCAAACGCGATCTGCTGCAAGATAGCTTGGCTAGTGCCTTCGATATTGGCTAGGGCCAGCATGGCAGGTGCTGCGCTGTAATACCCAGTCAGGTCGGTCGAGCCGCCAAACGTGGTGCCATAGTAGTTCTTGAGTCCTTGTTCCACACACGTATAGTGAATGATGGCAGAGTCCGCGATAAACTTCGCAGCCTCCGCTTCAGCACCAAACAGAAGAGCTTCATGATCTTCGAGCATGTAATTCCGGAATCGACCCAAGTCCAGCCGATGAAGTTTCAGAGCGTTGGCGTCTTCCATTTGTCGAGCAACCTCGTTCATTATTTTCTGGTCCCAAGCTCCAGTGACTCGCCATTGTTGGTAGCTTCGGTAGAAGAATTCTTTGGTTGCTTCCGATGCTCGTGCGAAGAACCACCCGATGTTCAGATCCGTCGATGGTAACTCGAAATCTTTCTGAAATTGCATATCCCAGGTGTGATTGCTGATTGGCAGCATATCGTGAAAGGGGTTACGCGAGCCGGTGAGGTAAACATCACCATCGAGGAAGACGAAATTGTATCCGGCCCTTAGCAAATCCATGCTCGCAGTGAGCTGTGCCCTGGGTCAACAAAGCTTCGGGTATCAGAACTCTGCTAATATTACCTTTGCTTCGGCAACTTGCTCCATAACCTTCCTCTCCGGATCTAAGTTGATGTACCAGCCGTTAAGACTCTTATCGTCGGCACATTCTTGATCGAGACACAAAACCACCAAGTCATTGCCAAACTTCCATTTGTCCAAGTTGTGGCGCAGATGATGAAGTGCGGGCAGATAGTTGGAATCGCCGATCGTGATGATCGGGTGTCGCCGATGAGAGATACCTCGCTGTCGTAGCCATGCAATGAAGTCCGACGGCGGTGTTTTCGTGCTGGATGTGTATGATTTGATGTTGTCGAGAAGATCAGAAGCATCTCGCCCTGTCCATGTCCAGTGCAGGAATGCAAGAATCAGGAACGATGTCAGAGAAGTAAGAGCGACTCGTCCTAGCCTCGAGGAAGTACTGCCGGCAAGCATGACCGCATACCTTGAATAATCAATGAGGAGCTACGGGGCCATAAGTATGGATGCATGAGAATGAAAGCAACTGTTATGAGCTTTTTGGGGGAGCGCAGAGGAGCTTCTCTTCTTTACACTCGGAATGTGGCCGAAGAATGGTCAGCTGAAACATGACAGGCCGTGACATAAAGCAAGGGGTTAGGTGAAAGGGAAGACCTCCCTCAGGAATGTATACCAAGTCTTTCATGGGATCCATGCGATGACCTCTGTGTGTGAAGTTCGCGAAGTCAAGTAAATGGCCCTGCTTGTCGAGCCAGGCGCCATCATTGGCAAACGGCGTTGGACTGGAGTGGGCCATGTGCAATGTGCAATCCAGATCGTTCGGGCGTATCTTTTCTGTGCTGGGTGGATCTATCCTTCCGTCTCGTATTCTCACTTTCGCGGCCTTCTGTTGTTTTGTTTCTCGGCCATGTCAATTTCCCCTTTGTCTCCGTCTTCACCCGCGGTTACTAGAGGTCAACGGCTTCCGGCATTGTGTCCATGCACGGGTGATACTTGGACGGATGGACAACCGGACTTGAGAAGTCCTGGGAAGTTCGTAAGATGATGGCTACATAAATAGCTGGGTTAGACACTTTTTACACTGCCTCACGGTGGAAAGCAAAGCTGTCCGCTATTAGTAAGTGCCGCGGCTCCTACAATTTGGGTGTATTTGTCCCCAAGGTGCCCCCCTCAGACGCGGGTGCGATAGCGTTCCACTGCCTATGCGCTTTGGAAGACTATATGCCGCCTGTCGCAGACCGCTGTGCATTCTAGGTAACATTACGTTGATCAGCTCTTCACGTGCTTTGGTGGTTTTGAGACAGAGAGTGCAGTGGACAGCCGATATGGCGAGACGAGGCTTTCCGACGCGTCAAGGCCAGACGCGTTTCAAGCTAGCCTAGCCCCTTTTCCGAAACCACAACTCTCCAAGCTTCTTTTCTCTTTCATTATACTTCGGGCAACAAATTAATGACAGCTTCTTGTTAGTCTTTCGGTCCCCCGAACGCAGAAATGGCGACTTCTTGCATACCGCAGTTACCTCAGGAGATCCTGCAGCTCATCATCAGCTTCCTCGATGGCAGTGGTCTCAAAAATGCTCGACTTAGCAGCAAAACCTTTGCGATGATGGCTGAGCCTCTCTTGTTCGAGCGCATGGTCATCGTTCCCTATGTCGACTGTCTGGAGGGTTTTCAACAAATGATGACGCGCAATCGTCGGATCGCTAGCTTTGTGCGGACTGTGCATTATGATGCGGAGTCCAGGTATGACGACAATTGGGAGGCTGTTACAACACATGACAGCTCAGCTTTGGCTCTCGAGAAGTTAGAAAGATTCTGTCTTACTGCCAAAGATGAGGCGACGGAAGTTGTATTGCTCAGCGAATGCCTTTCGGCACTTCCTTCTGTCACAAGTCTGAGCGTTCAAGAAGCCTCGAACGAGCGAACCCTCGATTACGAAGACAACTTGCTCCCGTCCAGATCCGCATATTTCGCTCGCCTTCTTAGAACGGCATCGAACGATTTCCATTTGAATCGGAGTGAAAAGCTCGGCGGGTTTGCTATGCAAGGGTCACGTACCATTCTGTTGGCGTGTATTGCGTCCGGATCGAAAATCAGGAACTTCGATGCCAGTGGCCTCAATTCAAGGAATTTCCTTCGATGTGGACACGCTGATGGACTAGAGGAGTGGAGCGAGGATAACGCGGATGCTCTTGCATTCCCAAAGGAATTGCCCTTGTTCGTGCGCATGTTTCAGCTCATGCGAAACATATCGCTCGATTTTGAGGATTTCAGGACGGACTTTCCTCCTCATCATGACTCTGATGCCACCGTTCTTCTTGGCAAGGTTCTCGCCTCAGCATACCAGTTGGAGACGCTTTTCATTCATGGAATTGGTGGACGCTCGTCGCACGACCACTCGAGGTCGTGGCTGAGCGCCTTGATGCGTGTCAAGCCTCAGTCACCAGCGCCAGGGGTGATACGAACAAGTTCAGTCTTTCCGAATATGAGGGTGCTGCATCTGAAGTACTTTGCATGCCAGGAATCAGAACTCATAGCCCTTGTCCGTCTTCACAAGGCTACCTTGCAAAAGCTGCAATTGAACACCATGTTCCTTCTGAACGACCAAGAAACTCCCAACTCGCCAGCGTGCTATGTTCGCTTGCTCAAAGCTATCCGAACCTGTCGCATCCCGGAGGTGGAGCTAGCCGGAATTTTCATCAATAATGCCGGTCATCAACAATGGCAAATTGGGGGTTGGAGTGGCACCAGGTCTACAGCTCCGCAGACAGACGCTAAGGCCAGTCTGCAATATCGCGTGCACCAGTGGGTATCTGGGAAGGGCGAGGAGACAACCTGCCCTCTCGAGAACATGGCGGTCAGACTGGACGCGAGTGGCCAGGTCATAGTCCCATCTGCAGACGGACAGAATCTAGGGGATCCTTCTTGGACGGTGTTAGTCCCTTCAGGTCGCTGCGCTGAGCGCAGACTTCGAATCCTTCGACTCATCTATCGTCGAGGTGATCGAGGCGGGGAGAGGTCCTGTCCGGGTAAAGCCCAATTTGTGAGGAAGTTTGTTGGCGGATTCGACCAGTGGAGAGGAAGTCCGTATCAAGGGTCTGTTCTGGCCACGTCTGTTCACTGCAGCTCGTTCCACGCGGCGTTGGCTATGAATGATAAGATCTCGCCGTTCGGCTGTTGGGTTGGGTAGCCTTCCGACGATCCGAAGCTCTCTCAAGGTGGCCCATTCGTATTTCCTCCCTGCTCTCGTTCCCGATATCCATCCCTAGACAAATTAGCCATGTATTACATCGTGCCACTGGCATCTAACTCACATCTGATGGTTGAAGGAGTCTACCCGACAATGCCTCGGGACAGGAAAGTCCCACCCAGAGGGTTGACTCCCTTGTTTCCTAGCACAACTCTTCTCCCAGCGTGTTGACGGAGACGTGCGGGCCGCT